AACAATAAATTCAACTTTGATTCTATTATTTGATAAATAATCAGGAAATACAAAGACTTTACTCAAACAGTAAAATAAATAGTGGTTGTGGTGTGGTTTAGCCTCTTTTTTCCTGTTTCACCCACACTTTGACTAGGAAAGGCAACTACATGCAATTCAAGCCTGTTGTCTCAGAGTTGTCTTCCCATTACACTCTCCTTCATTTATAATCCTTTGACTGCTCTCACTGTGTGCGTAGGTGTAATGCAATAGAGCGCCAGCACACAAACAGGCTCACTGGGCAGCCAGAGGCTGTTGCACTTCAGTTCAAGCAGACTGTTTTCTCCAAAGCCTTTAAGAACATTACTCATTCCTCTTTCACACTCAGTGTCATCCATTTCCAGGCACACATGCACGCACTCTGTCTCCAGCATCACATTGGGAGGGAGACCTGCTCGTGTGAAAATTGACCAAGGTGAAATTACAACTTAGCCTCAGTCTTTTGGGCATGCAACAGAACATAAGACTCAGATAGGATAGTCCTTTTCATTTATCTGCTTCCTCGTCTCATAAACAGTTGACAGCTCCAGCACATCCATGTCGAAGTCATATCCCATTACATGCTTCTCAAGAGAAGTATTTTATCTTTCCTGAAAAGATTAGAAGCATGCAAAGTATCCTCAGTATCTTTTTAAATAACACCATCTTTAACAGTTCTTACCAACTGCGTTACAGCAATTTTCCAGATATTTCCATGCTACAAATCACATTATGCGTCACTAAGTTGCAACATAATAGTCTTTATTTAACAACAAACACATTTGTGTGAAAGTGGAGGTTGAATGCAATATTACTAAGCGTTTCAAAGTTCTCTCAAGCAGTTTTCTGCAAACTACTAACAGCAAACTTGTGAAATTGTGAAATATGTCAAATATAAATATATATATATATGTATATGTATACATATGAATAAAATTTAAGTTTAAGTTTGAAAACACTTTGCAGATAAATTAGAGAAACATGCTAATATGTGTGGACAGATCAATTGGGATCCAAATTGCATCCATTGTAACTTGATATGTAAATAGATTTATGATAATTTATTATGAGATATAATGCGAATATATTCCTCACATGTGTGCAGATGTCAGGCTTCAAGCATGTGTTGTTTATGTGTGGAAAGAGGGGGTTATACTGCTAAGATTTAAGACAGTGGGGAGTCATGACAATGCTGTAATTGCCATGTCACATTTTACATTTAATGTCTGAACTCTTAAAATATGAGATGTTTTGACAAATGGCGCCCACGGTACACATTACATCCCACCTACAAGTATATAGTGATTCACAAGCACATTCATCACATAGCACTTACACACACACACATACACAGTCAGTCCAGTGTAATTGCTTGTAGGGCAGTTATTATTCAGTTTTCAGTTCCAAGCAGCGGTCAGCCGGCATAGTGATTGAGTTGTTGAAATATCCTGTTCTGTTCAATGTACTGTCCCTGTTGGGCTGTGTGTGTTTGTGTGCGTGTGTGTTTGCATGTTCAGTGTATGTGTACACAATACCCATTGTCCCCACTCATCATAAAGGTGGCTAAAAAATGTCTTTCCCCTGTGTTTAACAATCAGGTAACAGAAAGAGTTTTGGTCTCTGTGTTTTCTATTAGTTTTTTTTTCCTCATACAAACCACCATTTCCTATGAATACCTAATCACAACCTATCAAGGCTTTATTTTCACAATGAGTTGCACTGTGTTGCTTCTTCAGCTCTACTTGTCAATGTTTTAGACCTAAGCTTAATGGCAGCCTAACATTTCTGAACTTGGGCAACACACGGCCATCTTGGTGCTGATGACACAGGAAACCCAGCAGTGCCTCTGGCAGTGTTCATCCTATGGCAAGTTGCTGTTTAATGATTTCACGGGTAATGTTGTTGATACATTACAAGTAGTGAATGCTGCATTAGCTACTTAGCCAGGAGACCCTCCACTCAATATGTGCCTTTAATGGTGCGTGGGATATGGAGTGTAAGATACTTCGGGCATATTTTAGAATTATATGTCTTTTTTTTTCCATTTATAATATTTCTTCATCCATTTCAGTGTTATGTTTATGCGTTTTGAAAATTAGCGTCTTGTAATTGTCTTTGTTGGTGCCATAAAACCATTATACATTTTAGGACACTTTTTTATGCACAGACTATTTCCATGAAATATATTCTGTAGTAGAAAAAATTAATAAAATCCTCTAGTTTGTCCTTATATTTTCCCTTATCATTCTCAGTGAACATACATGTTGTCTGTCTGTTTCTGGTTGTTAAGCACTAGCTTTGATTTTCAGCTTGCATTTCTGTAAGTCCACCTGGTGAACTGGGGTTTGTGACTGCTAAACATGTGTATGTGGGTGAGACTGTGGGTGCACTCTTATACCTCATGGCTCAGTGCCTGACATGTTAGACCAGAGTCTGATTGGATTCCTCGCTCCAGAAACATTAAAGTCAGTGACTCGTACAAAAGAGCTGTGGGGTCGAGTGTGCTAATGTGTATATTCAGTGTCTGTGCATAGCATTACTTTGGATTTTCTAGTCTCTGTCTGTATGTATGTTTCTCTGGTTAAATGTGATGTTTTCTCTTTTTTTACTGACTGCATGTATGTAAAACCCCTTGCTAAATGCAGATCTACACTGGTCGAGAGTTCAATTGTCCTTCAGTTCAAGGGGAAAGATTGGTAGGCTATCTCACTGCTTCATCTATTAGCTGTCTGGCAGCGGGTTCCAGGATGGATGGATAGAAAGCTTCGACCCCAAGTGAAGCACAATTCAAGATGTATGCTAAGCAGGTCAAGATCACTGATTAGCTATTTAAAATTGTAATTGCAAGAATAATCAATTCGATGGATGTGTAGTTAACAGTCAGGAGCACAACCTCTTCTTTTTAACTAAATCCTGCAGCTAATTGAAAAAGGATACTCAGTTTGTTTTGAAATCCAGTATTTATCATTGGACTGTGAATGGTTCTGTAAAGAGAATTCGATTTGCAAGACGATTCCCCAATATGTTCTTTTTTCCCGTTTTAAAAAATCATGTTTTGTGCTACATTTTTTTTAAATGTGTAAAATCAGCAAAGGTCAATGCTGCGCAACGCTTTTGTATAGTGCTGCACGGGATGTTTTACCATTTGACTTCCCAGAATAAGAGAATCGTAAAGTGCAATAACATCAATGCAACAAACTGCGAATACCTTTTTATACTGATGAGCCAAAACATTCTGGCAGCCTCTCCCTAATAATTTGTTGGTCCTTGTGTGCTGCCTACACATTCGACCCATTGAGCGAGGTGCCGAGTGTTATCAGGCAGAAAGATGTCAGCAGGAAATCCCTTTAAGATATATTAGCTGAGTCACTAGCCAACATGAAGATCAGACTTGTTCCTGCATTTTAACCTTACTGCCTGCTGGCAGTTTGCATCTATGCCGGAAGGTTTGCTAGTTCAAAGTTAGATCTCCTCTGTCATCTGAATGTACAGTAACATCATGGCCCTTATCGAAGTTGCTCAGGTTAGGGTTTACTACAATAGCTGAGATTTCAGTTACAGTCTAGTATTTGACAGGGCTGAGTTGAAAGAAGTTGCATATGTTGTTTATACTAAATGCCCCTCTGAGGACATTGCAGTTCCAGGTTTTCATACCAGGATTAAATTTTGTAGCACCAGTTTAACAAAAAAACAACCAAAAATGTAAATCCACAGAGAGAAAACAAAAGCCTAAATAAGTGGCCTGTTTATTTCCACAGTGAAAATAAAGGTAATGAGAACAAACTGTTGTCATTCAGCATCCCAGTGGGAAGCATACAATCAAGCTTCTTATCCCAGCCTTACTGTTTATAGTCAACACATGACTGACCAGGCTCTGTTTTAATGAAAAAGTCTCTTAAGCATAAAAAACAAAGGTGTTTCTTCTAACATTTGGTGTAGAACCCTCTGAGGTGAATTAAGTCATGTTTTTAGATTTTCATAAAACAAAACGCCCTGTCCTATATCACAGAAAGATGTGAAAATAATCACTTTGTTGACTTTGATTGGCCCCTCAGACCAAGTGAGATTATACGTGGAAGCTGCTGATGCTTGTGTTGTTTGTTGGTACGTTTTAATTAAATTGTTAAATCTGAGTGAGGCTGATTAGCAAGCAAGCAGAGAATCAAACAGCCCCTTATCGTAATGAGGTACTTTGGCATGCCGGGCGTGCAGGTAAAGGAAAGACAGTTTGAGGCACAATATCTCATGAAGGGGGGGCTCCACAGTGCTGCTGACTCCTGCTGCAGCATCTGATCTCTGCTCATTACAGCCCCATTTCCAAGCGCCGAACGTATGCTGAATAATGCTCTTAGCCTTGAGCTTTGTATGTCTTATCTATTGATTTTAATCTAAGGTTGATACAGTCGGCCACAACAGACCTTTACAGTTTTGACAGGTGACATTCTTTTTCAGTGACTTCTTTCATTTTATTTCCCTCAGGTCAACTCTCACAGCACACCTTCTCTTTCACACAATCCAGACTTGGTTCTGTCAGACTTTCAGGGAATATACTTGTTGTCTGCTGTGTAGGTGTGCTCCATGTACCACACAAAGTTACATTTTTAATCAAACTCTTTCTTCCAACCTAATTAAACACAGAAAGCTCACGAGCAAAAGAAAAAGTTATGTAAATGCAGGCTGCTCATTAACTCTAAGTTTTAACACCAGTAAGGTCTTTCATGCAACCTCCAGAGAGGGAAGAAAAGACACATTTCTGGATGTATTTTAACCCCTCAAAGGAATTTGAATAAATGCAGGGATAAGTTAACTATATCTGTCTTCTCGATCACATTCCTGTGATCTACACCCACATACACTGCTTCCAAAAGGAGTTCAACTAAGTGAACGCCTCATGTTACAGCTGACTTCTGTCTCTAAAATGAAATCTCTCATCTGGATGTTCGACAATAAAAGTATATTTCTGGTTGTACATTTCACTGCATATGCAAAGTTTTAAATCAAAACTCTGCACTTTTGTCTTCCTCTCCTGGCCCTCTTCAGATGCCAAGGCCTGCCCCTCCAAGGATTTTCAGTGCCGTAACGGAAAGTGTGTGGCACCCATCTTTGTTTGCGATGGTGACGATGACTGTGGGGATGCCAGCGACGAGGAGAAATGCTCCGCGCCCACCTGCGGACAGCAGGAGTTCCGCTGCAATGACTCCGAGTGCATCCCTGCCCTGTGGAGCTGTGACGGTGACCCGGACTGTAAGGACAAGTCGGATGAGTCCATGGAGCGCTGCAGCCGCAGGACAGAGCCCCAGAAGCCTCGCTGCCCGGTCGGCGAGTTCCAGTGCGGGAGCGGAGAGTGTGTGCACATGAACTGGAAGTGTGACGGTGATGCGGATTGCAAAGATAAATCGGATGAAGCAAACTGCCGTAAGTTATATGTTACCATATTATATTTGTGTGTTGAACGGATGACTGTATTGATTAATAGGTGCGTAAATAAGCCTGGAACTCAGTGGAATGATAGAAGGATATCAGTGTTGTCATTTAGTTACTCGCAAACAAACATTTCACAGTCCACATTAGATGCCACGGAAAGGTGTAGCTCACAGAATAGCTCAGAGGATTTAACAAAACTATTAAATATTCAAAGGGCAAGGATGTATTTCTCTATGAAAACAAAGAGATTATGGAGGTTACTTTGGAAAAGCATTCACACAATGTTTGTATTTGCAGACCAAAGAGACTTACTCTTTGGTGTCAATACACATTCTGCACATCACAGGTTATATGAACTTAGAATTGCTCTCCTGTTTTCCTTATTTGTAATGATAAAACATGTCATCCAACTGTAATGGTATGTTTAATAATTATTGTACATTAATCTCTTCTGTGAACAGCCTCTTTGTTAGAAGAGTTAATGCACTGCAGGTTGGTGGTATAATTATAAAAAATAATACCACACAAAGCCTTTAATGAATCTTACTAATGTTTGCTGACTGTGTTGGGGAACAATGTGTCTGTGTGTGGTTTATTACTACTAGAAGGCTTTGCTTAAAGGACTCACCTGCTGTATAATATGAACAAAGACTTTGTGACAAATGTGCCTGGAAACGACTATAGGAAGATCAATGCTAACAGTATCATGATGATTCACGGGTCTGTTGCTATGCAACCGTGTGATATGCACACACAGAAGGAGCACCTCTGAGAGCGTTTTTGACCGAATATGTTTGTGAGTGTGTGCGTGCATGCGTGTGTGGGAAGTGAGGGTCCTTCATCACGCAAGACCCCCATCTGGTCTCTTCACACTCCCACACACCACTCAGTGAGATGACAGCAGCCATGTAAGACATGATCCAAGCACAGCCACAGACTGATAAATGCTTTCACAAAAACTGCTCTTATGCCGTGTTCTCAGCATTTGCATTGTGCCCGCATTGCATGTGCGTCGCTGGGCTGCCGTGTTTTGACTGCATGCATGTACATGCATGCAACCAGTGTGCATGCTGTGATCTGCTGTGATCTGTTGTCAATGATATTTTATTACTTTCACACATGCAAATAACACAGTCTTGTGAAGGCAGACTACTTTTACGTGTTTGCAAATCATCAGGCAAATTTTAGTTCTGAAACTGAGACAAGCACACAGTCAAACTCAGTCAGTCCAACAATAAAGGGCTTCTCTCTACAGGATCAGAATGTTTTCTGATGATTTTCCAGGGCCATGCCATGCCATTTTTGTGAGTGTCTGTGTTTTAAGAATGCAAGGATCTCTACTGTGATGTTCCCATTTTAATGTTATAACATTTGTAGCCACAAGCTCTACAAAAACGTCCCATACAATTAATAGATGCCATAAAAAATGTATATTTTCAAGCTATGTAATTGAGTTTGTGTTTTAGAGGTAATATCCTTTTAAATTGATAAAACTACTTAATAATGGACGGACTATTTTAAAGCAAAGAAAACGCATATGTAAAAATGTACTTTAGTCTACATAAACAGCAATTCAGTAATGTCACTGATTTATCATTGATTTATATCAGGTGAAAACCTCTTGTGACCTCGTAACCCTTTTTTTCAGATATGATGTGGCAGGTTTCTGTGTTGCATACATCAGAGTCTATTGGCATGCTCATTATATAGTGAATACAAGTGGGTGGTAGGAGAGTTATGTAAAACAAGGTGTAATGTTCTAGATAGTCTGCATAATGAGACTGGAGAGCAGAACGAAGGGAGGTGCTGCATTTCAATGTAAATGAGAGCTGATTGAATCTCTACATTTATTTCTCCAGTTTGTTCCCTCCTCCTCCTTCTCAGGCTCTCCCCATTGGCACAGATCCACCCCATCATTATTATCTCCCTCTTTATTTGAAACATCTGTCTGTGTAATCTTCTGTTCTTTACAGACACACTGAGACAATTGTTTTTGAGAAGGGTGACAGGGTTAATGTAAATGAAAAGTGGTCACAGGTTGGTTTTCTCTACTGCCAAGACTTTTGCAGATGGCAATCTGTTATCATTATTATCCATCATGGGGAATTATCATAATTAGCTGAGCTCGGATCCCTATCATTTGACTGAAAGAATGAGAGCATTTTATGGTGGAACACGTTTATCTTTCACAGGCTTTGTTCATTTTACCATTAAGTAATGCGTTTGCCTTCATTTTTTCGTTGAGCATTTGAAGTTTGAGTCAAACTCCTTCATGGAAATAAGCACATACCTTGCTCCAGGGCTAAATCTAACTTTAGCCATTTGATGTGTCTATTTGTGTACATCCGTCAAGAAATCTACTTGCGGGGTAGGAAGCTACACGTGGCTGTGTTTGATGCAATGCTTCCAGGTACAGTGATCATGTGCCATGGAATATGATTCCATTGTCCTTTGTGCATTGTCTCCATTGTTATTGATCATGTCTGCCTCCATGCTTTTGCTGAGGTGGTTCAGAACAGAACATTAATAATTGAATAGGCACTTTAAAAGATGAATGAGTTTTAAAAATGCTCTCAGCTCTTTAAGCTGCCACTATCAAACTATCTGAAATATTCTCAGTAGACCTTTAAATGTGAATTTTTTCATAGACACTCCCTGTTTTTTGCCGAGTGTGTGCAGTGAAGAGTTGGGTGTTGATTGATTACTTTTACACTGGACTACACTGCACTCAAAGTTGGCCTTTTTGAAAGTAGTGATATCAGTCTGATTCAAATGTTTTGCCTTGTGTCTTTACATGCATTTCTGTTTCTTCTTCTCTTTAATGATTTAACAATGCAAGCGATTCTTGTTTTTTCTTGAATCCTACAGCTCTGCTTACATGTCGACCTGATGAGTTCCAGTGTGGCGATGGCTCTTGTATTCATGGCACCAAACAGTGTAACAAAGTTCATGACTGTCCAGATTACAGTGACGAGGCAGGCTGTGTCAACAGTAAGTGTCACACACATTAAGAGAAGAAAGCAATAATTTAATACAACACAATCATCTACCTGAATATTTTCTTACTGGTACATGTTAAGAAAAAAATTAGCTAAAAAACTGTGCTTTTTTTAATCAAGAGCTAGACTTTTATTGAGATTGTTTTTTGCCTGTAATTTATATCAGAATGAGTAAACTTCTTAGATTTAACGTTTGATCCACATGGGTGATTAAACAACAAAGAGCAGCATAATTGCTCTGCTAGCTGATTATGTCCCTTTAGAATCCTAGATAAAGAGAATTTAACAGAAGGTTTCATTGAATCATTTATTGTTTTTTCCTTTATTTATTGAAAGCGAAGGGTTACAAAGTGTAAAGTGTTTTAAACACAATAGTTGGAGTCTGAGCATTCTCACTTTGGACTATCAAATGCTTTTGTGACTGCTGAATGACAATTCAAATCTACACAAAACTGGGCCACCAGATGAGGACAATTGTTGCCTCTGAAATCTTTAAACATTAAAATATTGTTGACGTTTCGGCCATTGCGAATATTTTCACCACACCCTTCAACTCAGATGCTTGGATTTCAATGTGTACAACATGACGCTGCAGAATCAGGATGAAATGTTTTTATGGTTTGAATAGTTTAACACTTTAAAAAACATTATTTTCTCACAGCTCTATCTCATCATCTTTTATTTTAGATTTAGCTCCCTCTTCCGCAGTGAGAATCATTAACATAAAAGTTACTCTGCTGAAATATTGAAATAAGTTAACTACTGATGTCTCTGATTTTTTCACCTCAGCTACAAAATGTGAAGGGCCAAAAAAGTTCCGGTGTAAGAATGGGGAGTGCATTGACAGCACCAAGGTGTGTGACAATGTGAAAGACTGCAAAGACTGGTCTGATGAGCCCATCAAGGAGTGCGGTAGGATATTTCTCTTTTTTCTTAATGCATGCAAACCCTGCTGAGCAAGAAATATATTCGCTCTTGGTGCCTTCCCCTGTACTTATTTTTGTTGTGTATTTTTGCCACAAAATGTTTACAAAAAAAATCTGGAAATAGCAAAGATGACAGGACACAGAATTATATGATTTAAAAAATGTTTTTTATGGCCAACTGAAATTCTCTTGTTGATAATTTATTTTCCATTGAAGTAAAAGAAAACCTAATGGAACAACTCTTTATTGAGTTGAATATAGTGTTGAATCATCAGAAACAAAAGAAATGTTATACTTTGTTGCACCTCCAATAATTTTTATAACATTTTTGGTTCTGCAAGGTATTGTCTTCATAAAAAACAATAACAATCTCCATCAGTTAAGTCCCAACTTTGTTATTTAGCAATTGACAGACCAGCTTTAGCCCATTGTAAACCCCTTTTCTTGTATTTCTTTATAAATAATAGTTCACACTTGGCTTTCCTTGATATATATCACAAACATTACCTCCCATTGATGGCCATTTGTAGGAATTTTTTCCTCTTTCTGTTTTCAGTCACTGTGGTTTTATGTCATATTAATGTCTTCCTTGGTGGGCCTTTATGTGTTTCCTTTACAACCTTCCCACTATGTTTGTACTTGCTCCAGTTTTTTAAGCAATTAAATGGGAACAGCCAATGTCTTTTGCCACATTCCCAGCAGTGTTGCTTCTTCCTTGAGAGATTCATTTTTATCATGGCAGAGAAAATCATTTCACCACTGGCTTATTGAAGTCTAAGAGCTAAATAACTCTACACTCTACTTAGATTTTTCCAAGAAAATCAGGACTGCAGTTTATCCCCCATAAGGAGCCATAGAGTCTAACCACACACTCCTGTAGTCAATTACCCCTGTGCAATTTTCAGTCACACTTTCAAACTTTTAATGCAAACAGAGAAAAGCACCTGATTAAACAACACATATTATGAAATGAAGTTAATTTTTATTGTATTCTTATAAATCAAGCAACTTGACTTAACTTTACATGTGAACATAAAGATGTGTGCATGCTGCTAAAATAAACTGAGAGGGAGGGATCTTCTCATTTTTGTGGCTCTAAAATTAAATGGGAGTGTACTGCCCTTTCAGTTATATTTGATCTATGAGTACATTGACATATATTGCACTTAGACCGACCAGAAACCTATCATTACAGTTAAGTATAATGTTTAGTGCTCAAAGGAAAGTGTGCAGGTTTTCTCTGGTTGAAATATATGAACATCACTGACATACATCACACTTATTTTGGACATCACTCACTGTAAATTGGTATCTACAAAAAATAATGGGATACTTTTATTGGAAAGCTCTTTTCAGCTTATCTTTGTAAGTTAGTATCTGTCCATATCAAATAATGAAATAAAATCAAGAATAAATCATGGTCTTTTGTTTCCTATATCACTGAAATATGCATGTTCTACATACACATTGTTATCTTACTGATAGATTGATTTTGAAAATACAAATGACTTGTATTATATTTATAATACTGTCTGTAAATTAAAGTGACTGACTTGTGTTACACTACAAGTTCATGACAAAAAAAAGCATTTCCACTGTACTATATACATTTTACATTAAAAAAACAAAGGAGCAAATAACATTTTTTTTCTGAAGGAACTTGTAAAAGATGGTGAGAGAGAAATGTGTCATTGTATCTGCAGTTTATATCACGGTCTTCTTTCAATAAAGATATTAAAAAATCCAAAAAGCTGGGAAAGGACAATGAAAATCTTTAGGGAATAAAATACAATTGAATACGATTGAATTTTCACCAACAGCTTTTTTCCCTCTTCTTAGATATTCATATTGATGACTGGTGATCTCAATGAATAAAACTCAATGGCTCTACATTGAATTACAGCTTTAATTTTAGTTACAAGGAAAGGTATTTTCCGTCTTCGCTCTCTGTCCCTGTCAGTATCTGTCTCACAGCTGTACCTGTGGTCGTGGAGCTTAAATCTTTAATGTAAATCGGTAATGAAGTACCAGCTTTAGCTCTCTGCGGTGATCTCTCTCAACTCCCTGGAGGGTAATTGAAAGACAAAGGAATAAGTGGAGGCACAGGAACAGACATGAACGGAACAAAAGGATGACTTAGAGAGTCCAATATGCTCTCTCAAAAACAGGAGGGGGCTGTGTGTGAAAGGATGTGCTTGTGTAACAAAGGGCATTATAGTGGAGTGGCACCTGGTACAGACAAATATCCATGAAGGAGAATGGATCGTTTTTTACTTACTTGTGCAGGTGGGCCATAACCATGCAGAAATGTAAAAGTCATGCATGCACAAGTATCAACATTTCTTTTTATGTGGCTTTTAAGTTTAGTATTTATGATGTCTATGATCACCTAATATAAATGAAATGTATCCACATACCCCCACCCACAAGGTTTTGTGTGTGTGTTCTTCACAGGCTGAAATTTCCCATTCAAAAACCTGCTGGAGTTCTTTAATCAATATTTAGCTTCTGTGTACTTCTCCCAATTCCTCTGCTCACATCTTTGAACCTTCCTCTGTCCTTCCTCCCACTGCGCCTCTCCTCCAGGTCGAGATGAATGTGCAGATAACAATGGTGGCTGCTCCCATATCTGCAGGGATCGCAGAATCGGTTATGAGTGTGACTGTCCCTCTGGATACAAACTCCTGGACAAAAAGACATGTGGAGGTAAAGAAAATAATAAATGGGGATTATTATTTCAATTTGCAGTGTCATCTTGTGCTGGATAAGCAGAAAATTGCCTTACTTTTTAACCTTATCGGAGCCCCTTTTTGAAGCACCATGGCTTTGGATACAGTGGTTCTGCTACAAAGGTTTAGTGCTATCTTAAAAACCTGTGTTTTTTAGTTTGATTTATTCTGTATTTTTGTTATCAAAGATGAGTCATCAACATGCCTGGTTGCTCATTATTTCTAACAAGTAGAATACAACTATTTCCACTGAAATTCTTTCATACTTGTTCTTGAAATTCTTGATACTTGTTTGCTTTCATTTTTGTTTTTATTCTAACCCTTCATTTATCAGTTTAACACTTTTTTTTTTTTAATTTTTTTTGTTTCTTTTAAGTTTTTAGGAGACAGAATCCTGTTGTTTTTTTAGTTTGTTTAAAACAATGCGATATGTTTTTAAAGAAAATATTTAAAATTGTCTTTACCCACAAAAGAAAGAATGCATTGGCTACTGCATTCTCCCTAACATGGTTGTGACTGTGGAGGTATTGTAGTATACTTTATCCATGCAACATATGCTGCATCATCAGAAAATAAGGCATTTTCACAGCAGGATGGAAAACAGTTCATTTGCATTTCACTTCCGAAAAGAAATCCACGATGCTGCCAATGAGTACCCACAAAGAGAATAAACAATTAAAAGCTTGCTATTTAATTGAGCTTTGCCTACAACACATTTCAGTGAATAAAACACGGGAGTAGACGCCCATTTTCCATTTGAGCTCTGCTCCATAAGGATTGTCAGACAAAGCAGTTTGCAGGTGGAGGTGGAGGCTCACAGCAGACCTGTCAAAACAGGAGGGAGACGGCTGCTGAGCCCATCCACTCAGTGCTGCAATCTCTACAGGAGTAGTGAGACAGACAGACAGACAGACAGACAGAGGAGAGGGTGGACCTACCCGCTCAGCCCCCCACATCAGTGGGACTCCTGCAACAGGAGATACAGCTGCCTCATTTTCCCTTTTTCCATGTGAGAGGAATTAGGCATATTTAAAGAGAAGCTCTGCACTTTAGTAAATGAGAATCCTGCTTAACTCACAAGTCCATCGTCCCCTTTCAAGACCAACCCCTTCCTCTCCTGTTGGTTGATCAGAAATCAAAAACGTTCAAATTTCAATAAGGGATGTTTTAGTAGAGAAGCTTCCCTTTTTATATTTGTCACTGTCTCACACCCTTTATACCATGTGTGAGTTCAAATGTTTGATTTTTGCTGGATTTGTCTACTTGATATCAAATATCCAGTCATTTGGCCTATGTATTAATATCATTAACGAAAATAGGTTAAGGCATCAGTGTAAGGCAAAAAAAGGATATTTACATGATTATACAAGTAAAGATAACATAACAGAAGCTGAAAACTCATGTATAGAATCGATAACTAAACCCTGTGAATCCTTATTCTTTCTCTCCATTAGACATAGATGAATGCGAGAATCCAGATGCCTGCAGTCAGATCTGCATCAACTTTAAAGGAGATTATAAGTGCGAGTGCTTTGAAGGTTATGAGATGGACCCCGCCACTAAGACCTGCAAAGCTGTGGGTAAGCTGTTTGTCACTCAAATACGGTACACCCATTACCACACACTGTCACAAACAGACATTGCAAACTCACTGCAAAGCATTCATGAGCACACATCTTTTCAGGGGAAATCAAACACTGAGACCCAGCCTTGTATAAGCACCCCTAACTACCAAGTGACATCCTACACTGTTCTCACACTGTGGGACTTTGTGAAAGGAGAGGCTTGCATTGTATGCAGGGCCTCCTCAGTTATATGTACAAAGATAAATATTTGCCATCTTACTCTGCAGTGCTCACTAATGCAAGTTTGCAGTCAGACACCTCTGCTCTGCCAGAAGCATCAAAAGAAGGATGCTGTGTGAGAAAGTAGAATGCGAGACACAGGCTGGGTCAGTGTCCTGCAGAGGCTGCCAGGGAGAGCCCTGTTATGAGTGAAAACAAAGCCCCATCCTCTGAGCTGCACCAGATTAAGTTGTTACTGAACAAGGATATTCCTTTTTTACACCAGCTGAAAATGCAGCCAATCTCCATTTAGTGAGTTGCACACAGACTGTTTCTGTGTCTTTTAAATCATTCCTGTGTGTAGCAAAAAGCTTTATTAATTGCACAGTTGTGACCAAATGGCACTTGAATGTTAATAAAGCCCATTTTGTGAGCAAATGATACGAGACAAAATGACATTTGGCCATTTTTTGGACATCTTTGCAGTTGCTGATCTCTGAAAGTATAATGAGTCTTGATAACTAACTGGAGGTTGACCAACTTAAGCAAATTAAAGCATTTTTTCTTCTTTGAAGAACACAAGATTGATTATTTTCGAGGGATGAAAATTTTAATCCTGTGTTCATTCCTGAAAATCAACAATGAATTTAATCTTGTACAATTAGCTGTGCATGTTTCGTTGTCATGGCCCTGGAATAAAACGGCTCAAAGTAATCACTGAATTGTGAGGAAACCTCTGACATGTGCATTTGAAATGAAGCGTATAACTCACGGACTTAAACAGTAAATTAACTTTTCAGTGGAGAAAAGGGAGACTGTTTGTGGTAATTATGGTCTTAGGTTAAGTCATTATAGGGTAAACTGGTCTGATAATGAGAGTGCTTCAAGCAAAAAAGAAACATATCATCATCATTCCTGAACTAAGTGGCATAAAAACCACCATTAATTGCTCGATGTCTCTCTGTGCAAAGCTCTGTTACTGTTAGAACGAGTAAACAGCTCTTGTCAGAGCTGAAGGACTTTAGAGGGAGGAGAAGACAAGTAGATTGAAAGAAAGATAGATGGATGGGCAGATGCATTGTCTGATTATCTCTCTTCTCATTAATATACTACAGGGGCTGTCACACGAGGCAGAAAGAGGAAGAGACTGAAATATGACAGGATTATTGTTCATATTAATGTTTGTCCAAAGGAGCAAACAGAGATGGAGTGTTAAACAGAGAGATGCTTGCTTTGTGAAGCTGACGTAATGTGGATTTAATGAAGCTCAAATTGTTTTAAAGCTCAACTGCAGAAGCACACTCAAACTCATGCACGTGCACACCCACAAAAAACAACATGCATAAAGCCATCAGTGTGTTTACACAGATGCACATGTAGTTACATTGAAGAGTCTAGTTCTAATCTCTATAAAAGCTTCCCATGAATTACTCATTAGATGCGTTGTTGCATTATATGACGAGAAGTGACAGTTTTGACACATTTTGAAGTTAAGGCTGCAGATTTGTTTTGCATCCTATGCTGTATTTAGATACGCTGTCATTGTAACGGGACAGTGAGCTGACACCTCACGGTAGTGGTGACAGCTAAAGCTAAATAGTAGACTTTTTTGGTTGTTTTTTAGGATGGTTATTTTAATCTTTAAGCCATCTTCTCCTCCAGAGGTTATGTAAAGAAGGCATGAGGCAGCGACCTAAACGTGTTGGTATTTAGCTAAACCTCAACCTTGTCAGCTACAGGTTTCTTTTTATTTAAATGAAATTTCCTTTCCTATACGCAGCATTTTTGCTTGAAAAATTCAAGGAGATGTCATATTTAATTTTATGCCTTGAGGAAACCAGGTCATCCTTTACTTGCTTACCTATTCACAATTTTAAAAAAAGAACACTTCACAGTACCTTAGAGTGACTCCATCTAGAATTTATTCCTCAAGCGGCAAAATTTCCTTATCATATTCTTCTTCGATTTTGCTTCTTACTTTGGAAAGTGCATAACTAGCCCTGCTTTCAGTACTCCTGCAGTACCTAACAGTCCACATTCATCTTTCACACGTTTATCTTAATTGGCTAAGAGGGCAGAGCATCCCTAAAGTGGCAGGACAGATTAAATCTGGAGGGCCATGTTCTCATTAAGACAATTTACTGTTGTTCTAAAGAACCAAGCAAACAGCAGAATCCATTTCCTAATGACATTTAGTATCAGCAAAAGAAAACTGTGACTTGCTTTTCTTTTGCCTTTGTCTTGAGATTGACATTGTTCTGCAACGGTATTAATGAAGGATAAGGGATGTTGCTTTGGGGGAGTGACTCAAGGGGATTACTAAATGATAAGTTAGACCTATCAATTGATCTTTCTTCATTATTTATCAATCTATATATAACGGCTCTTTTTAACCTTTCTTTTGCTCTTGCCATACGCCACACCCCTGTTAATGTCTTTTTTTCCCCTTCCCCTAATTCCATTGTTCTTTATTCGTCCATGATGAAATGTAAATTTACCACATTTAATTTTACCAGGCTCACTTTTGTTTCTGTCCCATATCCGTTTTTCCCTCTGCATTTGAAGTTGGTGTTGTAGGAAAATGATTACATCCAGACGACAAGCTGGATACAAATGTTTTTCCTTGTTTAAATGTTTTAAATAGCACCTCTGGTTATCTTCCCAGTAGAAAGTGAAGAGTGATATGAGAAAGAGAAAGCAGAGATAGGACGCCATCTGGTCTTATAAGCTAAATTGAAAAGATGATCGGGATGTAAATCAAATAATGACAATGATGAACTTGAATAAAGTTTGCAAACAAAATAGCATTTCGGTATGTTTAAAAACTTTAATTTGGATATTTCATACCGAGTGTTGTAATGATACATTTGAATTAGTGACTGTCTGAGAATTATTCAAAAGCCTTCAGTCACACTTGCTTTGGTTTCCGTTGGGCTCATTATGAGGCAGAGTGATGTTCCAACAAGAGCAGGTGCTGTTTGCAGGAGTCGGGCCAATGAACATGCTTTCAACACACTGCTTCAAAAAAAACAGCACACTGTGTCACCCATGTTTGGCATGTTGCTTTATTCACAAGCACAGGATGGATTGTTATTTCATGTGCAGCAGGGCGTCCAATTCTATTGAAGGTGGTGTTGTTTTTTCATTTTAATTTAGATGAGGATAATACATGTTGTCAGACCTGAATATCACCAATGCAAAGCACGACCTCCGTTAGCTTTTGCTTGTTTTCTGGGTAATACACAGATATTTTCATGATTTTGCATCTTCACTTGAATTGAAATTAGCAAAGTTTTAGGAAAAGTACCCAGTTGTACCCATTTGATTGAGTAGACTCTTAAATTTAGTAGCTAATGATTCCATCAGCAGATGGTGCCCTGTCAAAACACCATTAAGACTGTCAGAATCGTTATTAAGCGGCAAAAATGTTTTGACTTCATCAAATCAGATGAGAATAAAGGCAGCTTCTTAATATGGCAGTCCAATACGCATGTGGCTTCACCATTTATGTACAGATTTAAATTATGATGCTCAAAATATGGTAATGACTGTGTGAATGGGAGAGATGCCGTATTGCGATGTTGCAAACGATAAATTAACTCTGTTTGGCATTATTATTATAGTCTGAGGGATTTTTCGGGCCCACACCTGCCTCGAGAGCTTTGAGGCCTCTCTGTTCAGATGTGTGAATGACAGAAGTATTCTGTGTTTCAATCAGGAAAGAGTCCATATCTGATGTTCACCAACCGCCATGAAATCCGTCGCATTGACCTCCTGAAGAGTGAATACACACAGGTGGTTCCCACACTGAAGAATGCTGTGGCCCTGGATGTGGACGTGTCCATAAACAAAATGTTTTGGTGTGACCTATATCATCGAAAAATATACAGGTACGGGCAGAAATACACAAACACTGATAAATCAAATTTTCCATTTTGATTACATGAAGTGAAAAAGACAACTTAGGCTATAAAGCTTTACCACATCGCTTATCCAATGGATTTGTTGGACCACTGTGATAAAAACTTTTCTTTATAACTTACAGACTCATGATCCTTTTGCACTTGTTCTTTATTTTGTTTGTTTGTCACATGAGTAGTACCCCATAATAACCTTTTAATTGTCTTAAAGTTGAAAAACCAGGCATGGAACTGCACTGAGCTTACCTTGGAAGTTTGGATGACTCTGTAACCGAACTTTCTCATTATCTTTCACCTCCACCTGTCCATCTTGTCTACTTCAACATGTCACACCTTCTGGTAGTGAGGCAGGCACATCTGGAGGATTGTGGGCTCCATCTGATAGTAAAAGGTGGAGCCGTTTGCCCTTCACACACATAGGTGCGCCCACATATTCACACCTGGTTACATGTCATTCAGTTAGACCATTGCTTTCTACATTGTGTCTCTATTTGGGTCTGATGGCTGGCAGGTAGATGGAAAGTCCTTCTATCATCTCGGCTGAGCCATATGCCCCGTCTAATTTCACAGCCCCAGTAATCGCCATCATTACTCATTTGCATGTATGCGCTCACACACAAACATTCTCCAGCTCAAACTTTGTAATACACCAAAGGGCCTGTGACAGAGAAAGGACAAATGAACTCATTCTTCACAATGAACTCTATTTTCAGAGCCGTAAATAAACTCATGCATGCGTAGTTTCTCTTAATGACTTCAGATGGTGAAGTGGTACAGAATATTTCACCTGAGTTTGTCACTGATTGGGGTTTTCTCTTTCCCATTTCAAAAGAAACTGCTTTGCATTGTGTAAAAGGGCTACTAGTTTAGGGTAAATGGGGGACCTGGTGAAATTGTCAGAATCCAATCACTTTCACATAAAGTCTTTATCTTCATCAATTTTCTTTTACTGCATGCTTTGTTATGATGTGAAGGATTTGCTTCAGAAATATACTTTTTTTCTTTGCTTTTCCTCACATTCTCACCCAGTTTTCTTACAAAAAAATTCTTTAGGTAAATGACAAATAGAGTTTAAGGATTGCCACATATCTTTTAAAAGATGAAAGAGCAGAAACTACTTTTAATTAATTTGTCCTTTCCTTGTTCCTGTAAATACTACGTCTTACTGCGCAGTGACTTCAAATGTGGGAAATAATTAGCTGGAAGGTTTGGAGAAAATCAAAATTCTTTGAAATGGAAAAAAGTAGATCTATTTTTAATCACTGGTTTATTTTTGGCTTGACTTTACAGTACTTACTCAGACTTTAGATCCCAAAGATGTAACCTGTATTTAAAAAGAGATTCCAACAGTTAAAGAACTAGAATAGTCTGTATGTCCTGTGGACTTTGTTGGCTGGGCTCTATGTTAAACTAATTCCATCTTTTTACTCCAGAACTTTCTCTGAGGTGAATTTCATCTCATGTAATTAACTTGTTGTGTTTAGTTGGAACTGACTCACCATTATGGGGATGTTGTTTTCCAGGCTAATTCATTCAGATTAGTATGCCGAGGCTCGATGATGTGTTCACTTCTCTCCGTGATGAAGTTGTCTGTTGTACGAAATGTGCACCAGTCAATTAAAGACGTGAGCTGCTTAAGTGAACCACAAGACTCATCTGTTTCTACCTTATTCTGCTCATAAATTTGTAGCTTCTCTTCGCTCTTGTTCTTTCTGGTCTGATTAGGGGATTGTAATTAAATATAAGGATACGCTGGATCATACTATAAGTCTGCAAAATTCTGTCATTAAAGAGAAGTCCTTACTTTAAAACCAAGTTAAATTATTAGTTTTATGGGGTTTTTTATACTTATGGGATTTGCGAAATTAAATTATCCCGGTTTAACTCATCCCAGCCTTACCGTAGGCCGACAGGATAGAGTATAGAGTTTTAACAGAGAACAAGCTGTCACAGTGAAAATGACTTTGACTGAATTGCTTCGATATGAATTGTTTGCATCAGAAACATGCAGGTTTTATGCCAACTTCTTTCAGTCCTGACTTCAATTTGCCCCTTAAAAAGACATTTTTTGGTTCCATGTTTTTGAGAGAAAAAAGGAATGTGTTTTAGCCGCTCATTGGTAACCTCCAGCAATATCATCAACCATCTACAATAAAGGAGTGTGCAGCTGTAAACAGTGACACAGTCAATTAAAAACACAATCTTCTCACTAGTTCAAGTCTCATCCATCTCCTCCCCATCCCTGGCTTCTGCCACCAGCCTTCTCCTTTAGTTAAGAACCCTCCGCATATATACAGCTCCACTAATACAGCCCACCTAATTGCTGCACACTTTACAAACATGAGCCTGCAGGTTGGAAAATGGAACCTATATTTTTTTCAGACTTTCAACAAGGCTGATTTTCCACCAAGTGACAATTGTGTACAGCATCTTACCAGGTACCGAGAGAGGGATAAAAGTGAGAAAAATGGAAACAGAAGCAGACTGATGAATCAGTGTAAGAGGAGAATGGAGACACAGAAAAGACACACTGAAAATGAGAAAGAAGCCAGTTGTTGTATATGCTGCTGATGGACAAAGACAGCCTAATTCTCTCAGGGTTGTTTTGTGACAGGCTGAGGTTGTTATGGCAGTGTAAGGTTTGAGTATCCCTCACACAGATTTCACCTTCAAACACAGCAGTTTCTACATGTTTAAACCTTTATTCACAAAGCCTTGATGCTTGGATTAACTTGTTTTCTGACCTGAACTCGTAACGCTTTTGAGGTAGTCAAGTCTTTTCCTAAAGTAGGACGTATTTTATGATTTACTGAGTTTTCCTCTGCCATCCAACAGCGCTTACATCAACAAAGCCAGTGACTCATCACAGCAGGTGACGCTGATTGACTCACTCCAGTCTCCGGAGGGCCTGGCCGTGGACTGGGTCCATAAGAACATCTACTGGACTGACTCAGGCAATAAGAGCATATCTGTCGCCACGGGAGATGGGAGGAAAAGAAAAGTGTTAATAGCCACTGACCTGAGTGAGCCCCGGGCCATTGTTGTGGATCCACACCAAGGGTGAGTGTATGAGTCAAAGAGTTGAGGGACTTTTGGACAAATGACCGAATCATGAGATGTTACAGGAGTTAAGCGATGAAGCTGGAAGAAGAGTGGGTGGCTTTTGGCATCTCATAATTCTTTGTGTAGTGTAAACACACCAATGTCATTATAGGAAAAAAAAAAACTTGTTGGCCTTAAACCTTTTACCCACACCAACACAAAGCTATTTTTAGCACAGGACCATCTGCTATATCCAGCAGTTTAACAATTCTTTGGAGATACAATGGGATTCGTCCCTTCTTTTTCTGCCTCATTCCTTTTGTCCCCGCTCTCTTGGGTTTCCCACAGGAATCTTTTCACCACACCAAAAAGCTAGGCCAGCATGAAAACATGCAAATGAAACCGGTTTTCACACATTTCTTGTAGACACACACACATTCAAAATGGTCCGTGTCTCCAGAACCTGCTGCTGTGCACAGTCTACTTTCCAGTTAGTGCCTGCAAGGGTTGTTTCAGGGATAAAACCATCTAATGTTATAGGAACAATTGGACTGAAACAGAGGCTGATGATAACATTGTGTGGCAGAGTGCTGCAGCTGTCAGATGGTTCTCTAAGATTGAATGTGACATTCGACATAAAACCTATTCACTGCTGCTGAGATGGACCATTTTTGTTTTTTCTCCTTCTTTACCCTGAACTGGTCTTGTTTATATATAACGTATCTGTCTATTATCTGACAGGTTTATGTACTGGTCAGACTGGGGGGATCAAGCTAAAATTGAGAAAGCTGGAATGAATGGAGTGGATCGACAAGTTCTCGTGTCTGAACACATCGAGTGGCCCAATGGAATCACTCTAGGTAAGACAGCCACATCACGCATAGTTCCAATTGAAATAAAACTGATTTAAAGCTGATTTACAGTAACAGTGTTATAAAGCTGGTGATGCTTTAAAAAAAATGAAAAGAGAAAAAACAGTACATTCAACAAAGAAAAGGGCAACAGAGACTTTTGAGTAGAGGGAAAACAAACTGACTTGAAAGAACAAAATGATCTGAAGGTGCTGCAATCCAAGTAGCTCTTATTTTTATAACTCAGTTTGTGTCCGCCTCTCATCAATCAAGCCAGTGAGTATGGTCTCCGAATTAATAAGCCAGACGCTCTGTGCTGTCGATACCTCCCATCATCCCTCCCAACTCCCTCTGCAGCAACAGCCAATTTCTCTCCGCTGCCCTTGCCTGAGGAGAAATAGAAGCACACACTTGCTTCGCTTGCTCAGTGGAATTGATGTGTTGCTGCATTTATATGAAAATAAATTATTTTTAGAATAAGGCAAATGAGAGAGTTGGCCCCACTCCGGTGGGAGAAAAGAGGGGATTATTTTCCTTTGGTCACTGAGCAGGTGACTGAGTCAGGAGCAGAGAATTAAAATAACGTGCTGTTTCAGATTCTGCCGTATGATGGTAAAATGATGTCAGTTCTGTTCACTTTGTGAATCAAAATGCTGACTTGTCCAAGAATGTACACCTGAAACGATTGATTTTTTCTCAATTATGTTTCCTCGATTTTCTTTTACTGAAATAAATACTTTTATAGTTTGTTGCTTGATTTTATTATGCTGAGAAGGATTACATGGTCGGATTAATAAAAAAAAACACTCAACCTATTAACCATAACAGTTTTTGGAAATATAGACAATTGGTTGAAAAATATCAGAATATATTTCACCTCCATACCAAAGTTGTGTGAAACCCGTCAAGCCCAGTTTCTGGTTAAAACTTTTTCACTGCAAAGTTAGAGAAAGGACAGTAACACATTCTTCTTTCCGGTCAAATTCAGTGCTGTCTATAAACTTTCAAGTTAACCACAGTAGCTTCTTAGAGCCCATAGCAACTGAACAGAGACGCCTCTAGCCTTGTATAAACTGTTTTTAAAAAACAATACTTGGAGAATAATAGAAATGTAAAACAGCAAAGACTCCTTTTTAAAGATGTTCCAGCAAGACTAATGAATTTGCTCAAGGGCACACATTTCCCCCCGAAGAAAGCAAGTCAAGCAGCAATATTACAATCACATCTCTGTTTTCCCGGTGCAGGGCCTCAGCCGTCATGTCAGAGTTGATTGATGATGTAGCTACTGGGCCATTACATTCATATACCTTTCACCATAGGCCTTTCTTTGCTTAGTGACCCTTCTCTCTCTCCATTTACTTTTCTTTTCCTTTTTTTCTTTTGCCCCCATGTCTTTCTTCCCCTCTTCCTTCCCACTACATTATGTCAGATTTGTCGAACAGGCGTCTTTACTGGGTGGACTCCAAGCTGCACCTGCTGTCCAGCGTGGATCTGAATGGAGACAACCGCAAAGTGCTGCTGTCCTCCCATCACCACCTGGGACACCCCTTCGCTCTCACTGTCTTTGAGGTACAAGAGAAAGCTCAAAAAAGACTAACTCATTGAAGCTGTTCAGCCAATAGCAGCTTAAGTTTTTTTTTTTGTGCAAAGAGAAGCAAACCTTTTCATTAAAATTAAGTTGAAAATCATAGTAGGCAAGAAACAAAAAAAAAAGTTTTGTGGCAAGGGAACAAAAACTGTTGAGAGAAAATGGATACTAATCTTTTCATTTTGTGCCTCGACATTGATTTCCTGGCAGTGTTTATATGAAATGTATACTGAATTGATAAAAGCGGATGCTTACGTCCTTATTTTTGATGGTTGAAGTCTTTGTAGACATACACAGAAACAAAGCTCTGTCAAACGCGCTGTCTTGCGTTTGACAGTATCACATTATTCATTATTTATTCCCATAGTGATGCAACAAGTTTTTTGCAGCCCTTCTTTTTTGCAGATTCTATTGTAACTTCCTCATTTATCTTCATAAGCTTGGAATTTTATAGGTTGTGAATTCTTAATGACCTGCAGAGGATTCCTTGTTACTCCAGCAATCGCAAACTGGGATCTTTTCACTACATTCTACAGAGAGGACACTTAAAAAGGTGTCAGAGCTTCAGAAATGTTGGAAAAGATTTACATAGTGAAACACTGGCTTACAGATTGAAGGAAATGAGATGTTCTGTAAGTGAAGACTCAGGATAAGCCCAGTAATTGTCAACTTGCTCCATGACGAATGCAAAATCCCAGTGAATTTCAACAACCTATAGAACTGATGTGGGCGTACTTTTTGAAGTGGCTGCAAGTCACTATGTTTGAGCCCATCAGTTATTAATATTCTGAAGGCAGAAACAGCTAGAAGAGACAACATTGAGGATTGAGGTAGAGATAGCAGTAGGTGAAATGTGATCCGTGAGAAATGTTCCCCAAGTCTTGTCTTTGCGGTGCATGCTGTGATGATGAGAAGCAGAGGAAAAGGAGGACATCCATCATGTCTGGCTGAGAGGATACACACGTGTGTGTCTGATGCGCATGTGTATCTGAGGAGAACCAGTGTTTCAGGCAACAGTGAAAGTTCAGCCCTGGAGATTAATAGCCCTCAGCTGTTCTGGGCTGTGTTCTGTGCTGGTTGTGATACAAAACAAATTAAGAATCCTTTAGCTGTACACCCGGTTGTTCTGCTCCCAGCAGACCAATGAAAGAAAATTTGTTCCTGTCAAGTTTCCTGGCTCATGATCCTGACACCTTATAGCAAAGAAGCTGAAAGCCTGAAGAACCCATGTTGGTCATAAAGATGAGAGATATTTGAAGAACACCAGTAAGGTGCATTAAAAGGCACCACTACCATACGAATCAGGCTCTCTGCATGAGCTTGAAAATGAACATAATGCACAACTTCAAAAGCAGAATTTTATCTTTGCAAATGATGATTATTTTATTTTATTTTTTAAAAACATTTTTTAATCAGATTGGAAGATCAGGGCCACCACTGAATGCAGAGTGCAGTATGGTAGAGGGATTGTGTTGACAATAAGGACCACATATGGCGATTCAAACATGAATACAATACAAGTAATACAAGTAAACAGAATGTTTACTTTACAGCTTTTTGTACTGAACTGAACAATTTAGCAGAACTCATGCTAATAACTCCTGGCCACCACAGAGTGCATGAAATAGAAACTAATGTAAATTGTATAACATGACTGACTACCACTTGATTTTAAATGTAAGGAGAACTAGATTGGCAGTCCAGATAAAATACATTCTTCAATCTCACCAAAGTTGAAAATCTTTTACAATACGGAGCACTGACAATTCTAAAGTGCCAGTCAGGCAGCCCAAACATTTGTGTTTCTTAAAAGCATGACAAAACCATTAAATCCTGTTTTCTCCTTGAGTCTTTAATGACTTTATATCCTTTTAGATGTATTCCCATTCTGCTGAATTCCACTGAGAGATAAGGCTCTTACTGGTGTTATGCAGCGCCACGTGCTCACAAACACAGCCTGTGTGCACTACTGTAGAAGTTCTGCACTATCCTTTGACACATGAGAGATTAATGTTGATCCAAGAATAAAGAGAACCACCCTCCTCAGGTTTTTCGTTTCTGTTTGAGGCTTTCAAGGTCAGAAAATGTGACATGAGATGAGATTGACAGCAGAGAAACTGAAAAAGATAAACAGAGGTGGAGACTGACAGATCAAGGAAGACGTCCACAGAGAGGGAAAGGGAAAAGGACAAATGGAATAAAAGATTTAAGAATTGTTTTATCAGCCAGACTGATATTTGTCTTTCACTGTTTCAGCACCACTGTCATAAGAGTAAAGGTTATCTGAATGTGAGTGCAAAGAAGGGAACAATGCAGAGCTCAGTCAAAGATTGAAGATTGAAGAAAGGTTAAGTCCACTGATAATCCAGCACAAGGAAACCAAGGACGACTGCAGTGACTGAAACATACGCAAAGATACACACACTTTACGCTGCAGTGGCTGGACCCCTGGTCTATGCCTGTATGGAGAGCATGAAACAACAACCGTGTATTAAAAAAAAAGACTAATTTGTTGTCAGCATCCTGACATCAGCTTGTTGGGTTTGTCTTATTTGCTAGTGTGTTCCCTCTGAGAGTGAGCAGACTGTGGTTGCTGTGGAAACCAAGTACCATAACCTCTAGTGCTGTGAATGCTTTTTGTTTTGTGGCATTATTAAAGACAATTATGAGGAGGTGACGGATGGAAAGAAGAAAATAAGAATGTAGAGAAATACAAAAAAATTCAATTTGAAATTATTTTTCTATTCATTTTGTTCTGACTTAAATTGTCTATCCCTATACATAAACCTATAAGATCATAGTGGAAGAATTTGAGAATAATTTCATTAAATAAAATAATTTCTCTTAGAGGATCAGCAGTTATCATCCATGTCAATGCTCTTTCTGTTATGGCAGATTGTGACAATGACAGGTAAACCTTCATGGTACAAACTAAATACGCAAATGTGGACAGCCTGCTTATTTGATATACTGTGTACCATACTAAGGAAGTTTTCGACTTTAGCATAATCCAATGGCATGAGAAGCTGTCTGATGAAATCAGCTAAATAGAAACAGATCCCTTGTTTCTTTACAGATTTCCAGAAAAACATTTTTATTATCTATGTTGTCGTTCATGCATAGATGCTACGCTCTTTCATCATTTTAGTCAAATGCTGCTTTATTTGCCTGAATGATTCATGGATTTATTACTAAACCAAAAATCCTAATAAAAACTTTAAGGAATATACCTTTCATATACTACTCAGGTATGAAGTCTGTAATGGAAATGAGTAAAGAAGAAAAAAACAGGCAAAGTTAAAAAAAAAAAAAAACTTTGAAAGGCTTTGATAAAACCTGGAGAACCTGGAGAAGTGTCAATCTCCAAACTAAACTGGCATGTCTGTTTTTCTTTCCTGAACAGTTATCAGCCTTACCATAATGAGGCAAACAAAACCGGTTCACTTAAGTTCATAAAGATTTAATGAAAATGCCAATCTTAAGATAAGCACATCGCTCTTCAGCAGTCATCGCTGTCATCATCTGCAGTGTTCTGTTGTACATTACATCTGTAAATGAAAAGCCAGTGCTTTTAAATAGAATCCATCTATCCAATTGCAATACCAATTTCCTACTCAGGTCTGGACGGGGCTGGAGCCCATTACAGCTGTCATTAGAAAAGCTGGGTCCACTCCGGACAGGTCACTAGTCCATCACATGTTCACACCATCCACACTCACACTCATTATTAGAATTAATTTGGACTCACCAATCAACCTAATGTAAACAGACAATGGTAAATTTTGTTAAAGGGGGGGAAATGTAGTGTTTACCATCGTATCATTAACATATGATTCTGGATGATTTTGCAGCAATGGAAAAAAAAGAATTGGATAGCTCATAGAAAATGGACAAGCAGCCAGCATTCCTTGAATGTTGTTTCTCCTTTCACAAACAGCCTCCTCAGGTTCCTAACCCACAGGCTTCTGTTCTCATACCATCTTTTTTTACCAAAAGATTCCTGTGAAGTTCTGTGATGACAGTGCTCTAAATACCCAGTATATAGTGTTTCACCTCTGCACCAGCACAGCTGTCATTTGAAGATATTTCAGGACTTAACACTCTTCAAAGTCGATAGAAATAAGCCTGATAGTCACCAGAGGTTGTCAGTGTAATGTCGCAGAAATAGAGACTTAAAAGAAACATTCTGTGTGCATACTTCTTGGCAAGGTGTGGAAACAAACATCCATTTTGATCGTGTCCAAAATTGTAATAGGTTGCCGCAGGTCTGTTATGCAAGAAGTGACATGGAAGGAGCAACAGTTTCTGTCGGATTTTACATTTACGTTTTTCGTTTTATTTCCTTGATCATTTATTTTTTTAATGCATTTTTTAAGACAGTTTTCCCCTTCTGAATTCAGGATCGCATATATTGGACAGACTTGGAGGATGAAGCAATATACAGTGCTAACCGACTGACAGGACACGATGTGGCAAAGGTAGCACAGAACCTTAACAACCCCCTGGATCTGGTAGTGTTTCATGAACAGAGGCAGCCCAAAGGTAAGATGTACAAAAACAATGCAAGGAAACTTTGGATTTCCATACTGCTTTTGTTTGTTTGTTTTAATGTGATTTTAAATCATATTAAACACACACTTTGTTATTAGATCAGAAACCACATGAAACTTATGACAGGACTCTTGTTAGCATTTGGTCTATGTTGGTCAGAGTAATAAGCTCTTGATCTATATTGATCACACAGGAAAATAATCCCTTATGTGCCAATAATGAAGCTTTCATCTATTTGCATGTATAGCGATGGAACCTCTTAGTGAAACTATCTGAAAAAGTTAACCAAAACCCCAACAAGTGTGATTAGATTGATTGCTGTGCTCAGAATGTAAAGAGTAAGCTGTTCCTTTTCTTTTAGAGGGAAGAGCCATTCCCAAGGTGTGTGTGGGTGCTAGTTAGGGCCACTGTGATGCACTGTGGTATTTCACAATGTCTGCCAGCAATTAGTTTTGTCTGTGTTTTTCAAGCTCTGTTTTCTCTTCTGATTGTGTGCTCAAAGCAGCCTGTGTGCCAATTGGGAGCTAATTGCATTCTCTCATTAACAAATCAAGGGTGCCGTTCGAAAAGATATCACAGAACACCGAACATGTTACCTCAAAAGTGCCTAAAAAGACTAACATGGCACAGTCTGGCCTAGCCTGAATTAATCATCTTATATGATTAATCATCACCTACTTTGAAGCTCAATTTCCATGTTTTAATTCTTGTTTTGACTAAAAAACAAAGACCAGACAATACAGAAGGATAAACCAACTGAAGTAACTTCACAACATTCTTCTGTGTTCTGTGTCCTTTAAGTTCTGTACAATCTATTTTTTGCTCTTCCCCCATCTTCATTTCTGTGCTTTTACCTCCCTTGCCCACTGCTTTCCCATATTTCCGTTTCACCTCTCCAAGCTCTTCTTCCTCAGAGCAGTGTTAGAAATGTTTTGTCACAGTGAGGCTTACCTTGTTTTAGTGAAATTGTTTTATTTAATTAAATAGAAAATGACATGGCAGACAAGTCAGTTTGAGCTTTGGAAATGTTTTAAAGACTGCTGTTACACACTTGATATGCAGACACAGTACTGTATATGAAATAATAATGGATCATCCACTCGTTAAAATACGTGTGGAGTCTGGTGATTGATGACTTCATTAATGTGCAGCTTTCTAAAACTGCATAACATGTCAGAACCTGGAATTGGTTGCAACCTGACCTAATTCTGGTGCGTCCCACATGGCAAGAGGAGCAATTCTTTACTACGAATCTGCATCTATGGTTAAGAGACTGCATTTAAATATTTAATCTGTGGGGAGTAAAAAATGTGCTCTCAGAATCTGTTTCAAATAATCTGTGGAATACAGGAGTGTTTTTTATGCCAATCTACAACATACTGAACACAATTTCTAGGAATAAAAAAAGGTGCTGGCTGGCTTGTCGAAGTAATCCTTGGCTAAAAATATTAAAGCTCTGATTTGGTGTTTTTAAAGTAGGCAGCTATTTCTGTTCTTAGCATAATTGTTCTGTGAAAAATGTAAGAGTTCTTGTGCATTTGTGGTCATCACATTGGCACTGATGTAGCACTACAAATTGGAAAACATTAAGGAAAACCACTTAACAAACAGACATACTATGTATGTTTTGAAAATTAGCCGGAACGTGTATTAATCCTTTTTTTGTTTGTCCCTGCGTCCCTTAAGGCCTTGACACCTGCAACATGGGCAGTCTACCCAATGGTGGCTGCGAGTACCTCTGTCTGAAGGCCCCTCAGATCACGGACCATTCTCCTAAATATACCTGTGCTTGTCCTGATGGCATGGAACTAGGACCAGACATGAGGAGGTGTGCTATTGGTAAGTCGGACACACTACCGAACTAATAAATCAAAAGGTCCCGAGGGACACCTAATTAAGAGATATGCTGGCTAACCTCACATGAGATGTGCCCTACTGTAATCTCAGTGACATGATAGAGGGCCAAGTCATTCGTATATTAACCCGAAAAGCTGTTTCATTCTCAATAGTGTTGTAATTATTAATGTGTTATCAATGCTCTGATCTAAACACCCAAGTACTTGGAGAATTCCCAGTCTTCCACTGTACATGAATGCTCATAAAAAATACAATGCAATTAAAGGCTAATGACCATGGGATCTTGTTATTGTTTTTTTTCTGTTTTTCTGTTTTTATTATCTACGTTCCAAAGGTTTTTTATTCCGTCTGCATCACTAAGTTTCATAGTCTGAGATCCATTAGTCCATGCAGATCTGCTAGAACCCTATTGATGCGAGACCCATGAAAATGTACAAATAAATGAATGTGAAGATTTTTTCTTCTTTAAAATACAACTTTTGGTGTAAACTCGTTCATATTTCTCTCAAGTCTCAAAATTTGCATGTGCTCAGGTCAGCGCTCGCAGATGTAGTCTACGTTTGCTGGCAGTGATTGTGATGGATTCACGAGCCATACAGAACCCTTGTTTTCTTTAACACGGGCTTAGGAAGTGGGTCAGGGATTCCGCCTGATTCTCCGCCACATCTACATTATTTTGCTGACCTTATTTCACAGTTCCGCTAGTCCACTGCCTCGACAGAGTGACACCATTTGTACAGTTGTTATCCTTAATAAACTCGCTCCATTTTCACACTTCATATTTGTGCAGGTGAGGCTAAAGTAGCTGACTCTGAGAAAAGCGAGAAAGAGATGATGATGATGATGATGATGATGTATGTGGGCTACCACTCAGTCCCTCGAAAATAGGGAACTAGGCACCGAGCATACACACTGAACCTGCATCCTTTGGATTTCCTAATATAAAACAAGAATTTCTGCTGAGATCTCAACTTTATTGTACAAAGAAGTAGAAATATATTTTTTATTTCCATTTTCTAGCTGCTTTATATTTGAGTTTGACGGACCAGAATTGAAAAGATGTATTTTGTTTGTTACTATCTGACTACTCCTAAACACTTTAGCTGTCTAAGAACCTAATTATGCCTATGGGGTGTATATATTTAAAAATGTGAAAAACCGACACACATACAGTAGATAAAAGACCAGCTTTTATGCGTTATAATAATGGAAGTTGGTTTCAGGGGGAAGCTAAATGCTTTTTATCACCATATAATCTTCATCTTTCTTTCAACATTATTGGATCCAAACGTAAGTGATCATAAACATTGCTGTAAGCTTATTATTTTGGTTGAGTTTAAAACCATTACTGAAACTCTAGGAGGCTGGGAAAAATGCGATCATCTGCAGGAGAGGAGCTCATAATGAACAGCATGTTTTCCTTTCGTGCAGTTCGACTCAGGACGACCACCACGGCTGCCCCCACCACCACCAGAGCTCCTACCACCACCACCACCAGACCTCCTACCACCACCACAGCAGCCAGCACTACAACTGCTAGTGCCCCTGTTACCACTACAACCACCAGTACAAGTACCACCACCTCTCCCAGTACCACAGTAAGGCAAACAACCAGGCGCGTCACAACCCCAGTGGTCCCTCAGACCTCCAGAAGCTTCAGAAGCACGGAGCACCCCCCAACTCCGGGCGTCGCCAGCACAGGGACGACCGGCCGCAGCAGCACCGGTCAGACGGCCACATCCACCCGCACACCTCTACTCGGCCCAGTGACCCCCAACAGCATTCAGAGAGAGACCAACGCCAATCTCTCCCACAGAGGTGTGTGTCGTGGTCTGCGGGGGTTGTCCATATAAAATGTGTGTGAGGTGATTGTTCAGCGTGTGTAATCCCCGGCTACTCTCACCACCTGCTATTAACGCAGCTGGGAGCTGAAAACCAACACTTACATCGGCTTCCTTCCCCGCTCTGGCATTTCTTCCCCTTCATTTCTCCTTCTAACCATCTGTCTATCTCCCCTACTGCCTCTTCCTCTCCTCTGTTTCGTCACACACACATACTCGCAGGTAAATCTTTGTGACCAGCGACTAACAGGGGTGTCAGAGCCAACAAACGGCATATTCCTCTCTTCACTCCCCCTCACTTTCTGACAGCCTCTCACTTTGTTTACCTTTCCCTCTCTATCTCTGCGTGTTTATTCCCCTCTGTGTTTGACCCTCCAAGTTTTACGCCACTCATGTTTTACTGGAATGCATGAAAAATATCACTTTGCAACCCAGAAAAACAGTGATGGCAGACTATACAGTCAAATCAGTGGTTTAATCCAATACAGGAATTGAATTACTGTATATTTGCAAGTGGGCACGTCAATAGAGGCACAAAACAAAGTTGACTGAAAGTCAACTGTGCTGCACACTAGATTCAGCTGTAGTGTGGAACCTAATTTCTTTTCTTTCAAAGACACATCTATGTCAGATTTTGGAAACTGTCAAAATGCATGACATAAATATGAGTCTTATTTCAGTGCCCCACACAAGTTGCAGAAACAGAAACTCAGAGATGTCTATTTTTATGGAACAATAATGATGTGCATTTAATTGGCAGCACCTTTAGCTGTTATAAGTTTGTAGTGAAGAAATTGGCATGATGGTAACAATAAAGAACCAGGAGTCTCACAGATTACAGATTACAGGTGGAAGACAAACAGCTGGTGTTCTTCTAGGCTTTTTTCGTCTATTTTTTCTTTTATTATTTCCGTGTGGATGATCGTCAAAATATCTTTGTTCTGTCTTTGATGTATATTAAATGTTTATCTGAAAGTAATACAAGACTTCCAGAATACAGTTACATGGCCATTGTATTTAAAGCCAAAAATGAAAATATAAATACAGATTATTTACACAGAGACAGAAAAAAGCAAAGCCTTTTTTAATTAAGATCCCTCCAGCAATATTAATCTTAATGAAATTGACACTTTTTCCCAGACTCTCTGCATTCACTCCCCAGGACTGCCTTTTTCACACCAGCTTCTTTGATAAGATTCTGTTAAACTACTTTTTTGAGTCATAGGACCGCATCACTCTAAACGAGATGTCCACTTTTTCTGACTCAGAACCTGGAAGTCTTCGTTTATCTAAAGCTCTAGCACCACACGTGTTCCCACCCTTTGATTGCCATTGGCTTGCATACATGTGTGGGTTTCTGTCATATATTATTGTGTCTAGAAGGCACAATGTGTGTCTCATACATCACACGCCATGCCTTTTTCCAATGCATAAAATTTCACAGTCTTTTTTCGTAGAATGAGCCACTCGGTATGGAAGGCCAGCACTGTGATCTCTTCCATTATTCCTCTTTACTGGACTCCATTCTACCCATCTGATAGCATTTTGGCTAATGGCTAGCCGGCTGTTAATAGGGTGCCTGGGAGCAGGCTTAATGCCGAAGCCCAACACCAACTGGGTTGAGAGTTCAAGGGGAGTGGAAATTCAAAGCTTGTCCAAAGTAAATTGATATTGTATTGGATCATGAAACTAAATGAAAAGATGAAGCAGAAAAAAAATAACTTGGAGCACAGGATGATGTGCTCGTGCTCAAGGTCACTAGGAGTTAAACCTGGACAGAATACTTTGTTGCTTCCTCCTTCCATATTTGTTTTTAAATTATCTACATACAAATTCTGATGCATTTTTCTCTGGTATTGCATCTTCCTCTTTCGGGATTACAAAGAAACTCATTGCATTTTTATGGCATCCTGGTATGATTCATCTACATTTCATTTACACATGCTGTTAGAAAAAAAAGTCTGCCGTTGGATTCTCTATCTTTATATTATGCAAATAATCTTTTCCAGTGTGATGGCCTTCTGTTCCAGCAAACTTGCATTTCTGCCTTACGGGGCTTTGGGGGAGGGGGGATGAGGAAAAACTTTTTTTGCTTAGTTTGATTTCTTTTCTGTTTCTCTCCCTGTTGGTTCATCTCAGCTGCGAGTGATCACTACCTCATAGGAAACAACATCACAGTGGCTGTTTTGGGGATAGTCATTCCCATTGGTGAGTGCTCTTAACCTGCCAAATGTGTTGTCTCTGCTTTCTGCCTGCCTGCTTCTCCCTCCTTGCTCCTCCACCTCTGCTTTTCTCTGAACTTTTGCTCATTGTGTGTGTGTTTGGTGTTTTCTGTCCGGCCGTTTGTTTTTTAAAATGTTGCTATGTTTGCATGTGTGTATGTTGGGTTTTTGGAGTGTTTATTTCCTAACTGACTAATTAGATCTAAGTTGTACTCTCCTAAATAGTAGATCTTTGTGTTTTTTCACATGCAGCCCCTTATTGGCAGCTGGAAAAATCCATTATTCAGACATGAGCTTGTCAGTTTGGCCAGTAGTCTTTAAAATGCACAATATGCCATGTATTATTAAGATTTGAGCAAACTGTACATTATTCCATGTTTTCTTTAAACACTCGAATAGCTGTTATATCATAACGTTGCTCCAGTTATGAGGACATAGTTTGCTGGCCTGTGCTCTGACCCATTCCTCTGCTTTTTAATGAGACAAAGTAAGTGAATTGCCAATTGATTACATAAATTTGGGCATTTTGGCATGCCGCACCAAATTGATGCTATGTTTTTTTTAAACGAAACGCGTCATTTACCTTCAATCAGCCCATCTTAGTAAAGTTAATCTATTATTAATGCTGTTAGTGTAATTGAAATTAAAATCATACACTATGGACATTTTTAATGCTGTCATGCTCAGCTTAACTGAGAAATCAGCTGAATGTGCAAATGACCTTTTTGGTGGCTGCATGTGTTGCTAATTAAGATTGCTTTCATTTCAGATATTGAATAGTTTTATAAGTGATGGACGCTGTAAAAATTTGTAAAGCAATGCTTTTCCTCATTTAATTCTCAACAGTTAAGATATCAGCTCATTAAAACAGCCCCTGAGACTGTTAACCCTTTCCACTTTATCCTTCATCCTGTCCTTTTGCCTTTCATTGTTTCCACAAATCCCCCATTTGGCATATTTGGCAGCTTTCACACATTAATTACTGTTGGAGGTCCACAAGGGCTGGATTCCTGCACCCCAGCTCTCTGCTCACATCCAATACTGCACCACCCACAGCTCTGCAAAGGGAAGCCAGCCATGATTATCAGTATTTAGCCAAAGTAAGGCTGTTATGCTGCTCTCTAATTGGAGTGAAATATTCTACATAAGACAAAAGCTTTTTTTTCCTTCTTTTTTCTGAGCACTTAGACAGGAACAAAGACTGATCTGGGGTTTCCAGCCTAACCATGGAGGGGCCTTAAGTGCCTTCACCACAAAAGTGCAATTAGATGTGGGTTTCCATTTGGGATGTAAATACATCTGGATGCATGCACACAGATGACATGTCCACACTTCTTTTATCTCTCCCCCTTGGCTCACCTCTAATTTGATTGTTTGTATCCCAACATATAATGGCCACAGATACTGAGAGTGGACATACACAAGGACTCCAAGGGCAGTAAGGTATTAATGTTATGGTAATTAAGAGAATACAGGCTGTCCTTATCTCATTTCCCCCAAATCCCTCTCTCCCCACCCTCTCTTCCACTCTCCATTCTCCTCATAACCTCATCAAAAGGGCCAGAAAATAGTGCCAAAGTAATGTGCTGATGGCAGTTAAGCAATCTTGTTAGGCTTTTTTCCTAAAACAAGGGCCAAACCACTGGCTTCAGCTTCTGGATGAGATTTAACATAAAAATTGGGTTGATTCAGCTTTTGTGCTTACATACCTTGTTCTTTGTTTGTCTTGAGGATTGGAAATGTAGTTTCTGGATCATAGTGAATGCTGTCATTGTTGAAAATTGTGCATGTGCATTCTTGTATAAATGCAGTTTTGATCATTCTGTTTGAGACTGAGAAAGAAAGCAGTGGAATGAATGATTATACACAGTATGAAGGCTCATTGTTTGGGGTTGTTTTGTCTTTCTTTTTATCTCTTTTTTTCTCACAGATTAGTATGATACAGTTAGTTACTTTGTTCATATTGGCTACAAAGGAAATCAAAACAATTTCATTTTCTTTTCCCAAAGGAGTTATTTGAGTATATTTGATTACCACACCTCTATTTTTTTCTGCCAAATATTTAAAACATGGAGACTGTAAATTAAAGCCAAAAGTGAGCCTTCAGTTGATGAAATTAGCTGTGCATATTCATTTCTGTGTGTGTGAGTGCTTGAAGCGCCGCTCCGTGTCCCCTGGGCTGTGTTAACGCTCCCGCCGTGTGTTGTTGTTGTGTGTGTGTTAAACACATGCAGTCCCTATCCTTGCCACAGTGGTCATCGGATTGCTCTGCACTGGTGGGTACCTGGTGTGGCGCAACTGGCGACGCAAGAACACCAAGAGCATGAACTTCGACAACCCCGTTTATCGCAAAACCACAGAGGACGACGACGACGAGATTCACATCGGGCGCCACAGCGAGTCCATCGGTCACGTCTACCCAGCAGTGAGTGGGAGCCACAGTCAGCCATTCATAGCGCTTCCTCTGGGGGGCGGCATCACAGACAGCAACTCTCACTGGTACTCAGGAGCACCAATGCTCTCCAGTGGCAAGTGAGAGAAAAGGAGGAGGAAATGAAGGAGTATTTTGGAAATGGAAAGGTGTACAAGTTCAGCCTGGATAAAAGAAAGAGTCAGGCTTGCACGCGCACTCTTCCACATTTACACATATCGATTTGTCAGTAAAAGCACCACTCATACACACGTGAGCCCGTCACAACATCACCAAGTTCACATTTCGTCCACTCTCAGCGATCATTTTCACACAATACATTTGACATCAGATCCCTAACATCAGACCACCTGCCATCCCATTTTTACATGTTCATATTTTTAAGTGTTTCTGGTTGCTGAAGTGTTTCTCCAAGGGTTTTCAGGGGGGAAAACTATTCATTCAAATATAAACACCATTTCCTGGCAGAATTGGGTGGTGCAAGAGGTCTCTTATTAAAATATTGTCGCACAGTAATTAAATGCGTTCCTCGAATTGGAATGCCTGTCAGGGAATAATTTTTACTTTTTCATGTTCAAAATTGTAACAAAAGATCATCCATACAGTGGCTCAAATTACTACCACTGCTGTCAGGCAAAAAAAAAAGTTTTTTTTGTTTTGGGATTGAGATTCTTTTGAGGACAATCAGCTTTTCTGGCATTTTCTAAACTAGCACAAATCAAGACCACTGCGAGATTTGTTTTCCCTTCACAGCAGTTCTCAAAGCTTTAATAATACACAAAACTTAATGAAGGAGCACAAATCAGGGCAGAAGATTTTCCAGTCCTGAGTGCAGTTGTAGAATCCACAAATCTTTTACACCACAACAACCAGACTCCCCCTGCTGAGTTCCCAGTTTTCAGAACGACTGGAAGCCGCATTTTCTATGAATTTAGGAAACGATGGCAGCTACTACTTGCTCAAATAGGTATGCAAATCTAGAAGGAGTGCATCATCATCATCACACTCTTGGTAATTATTGTACATTTATTTATTTATTTTTATCTTTGGTGTCAGTGAAGATACTAGGAAGAGCGGCCAACAGGGATTATTTTGGGGGGGATGGTAGCCTTGTGCTTTGATCAGTTGGCATGGTAACACAGATTTCTTTGTGGTGCTCCGTAGAGCAGGAAAAAAAAAGCAAAGAATTCTGGGTATCACTGGTACAACAGCAAACTAGAATCCCCCGCCTGCACACACATAGGCATGGAACAGGTGCACCATTAGAATTCAAGGTCAGAGTAATAACTGCCTTCGGTGAAGAACAGAAAAGGAGAGCCTTTGTTCTTGAAATAATATTATTTACGTCTGCAAATATATTCTCAAACTGTCTTTTGACAATTGATCTTTGCTACTTTTTCTTCCTCCCCTCTTAACTTTGTTTGCCTTTTGTAGTGATGAAAACTGAGGCAGCATGTGAAAAACATGCTCTCCTTATGCGAGCTAGACATTTGCAGCAGAAAGATACCTACATGTCTCACCTACAGGACGAACAGCCCAGGAAACAGCAGAGGACTATGGGTGAAAATAGATATATGAGGGGAAGGTCAAGGAAGGAAGGGAGAACAGAGGATTTAGAGGGGAAAGAGTGCAAAAAAAAATCAAGTAGAGCCATTTTAATTCTGGGTTCTGCTGAGACGCTAACATGTCTCTGTCACCTGTAAACTGTGCCGCTCTATTTTCCTCTTTGTGCTCTGTCTCTCTTCCCTCTCCTTCACTATCCCACTGTGTTAACCGTCTTTTTATCTGCTGTTTGCAGCGCGTGGCACTCAGTCTGGAGGATGATGGCTACCCCTGATGGGGGATGCAGCCTGCCCCCCCCCCCCCTCCAGTTCGTCCCTGGCCCCTCCTCTCAGCACAGCCTCTCCACCACCTCAGTGAGGCCAGTGCAACGCAGAGGAGAATGAGAAGCAGTCCTCATTTTGCCTCCCATTTTAAGGAGCAAGGATGACACGTACATCTCTTAAATTCCCCTTGTTCTCCTTTTTTCCTCCACTGGAGTAACATACTACCAACACTAGCCTCTCCTTCTTCTGGTAGTGTTAGTTTAGTAGCCTCTGCTCCCACCCCCTCCTCCCTCAGCCTCCTGTTAACAGTAGTGGTGTGTGAAATGCTGCTTGATATCGGTCACACTAACCTCGTTCTGTTGACTCAGTGCACAATGTACATAGAAAAAGGTGACATTCATATTCTACATGTTTTTATATTTATTTTGTGTGTTAATCACTTACTAAAAGCAATTTTGATCATTTTTGTTGGTAGATGCTGGACTATACACATTTTATTTTCACATCTAGCTTCTCCCCTGATACCGTAAGGCTAAATTTGACCAAGGGCAAAAAGAATAACAAACAGTGGGCTTGTCTCAACATTTGGAGGTGATTTTGGGGTGACAGAGTAAGAGTTTTATTTTTTTGTGGGGGGTGGATTTGTCCTACCGGTAGGTTGAGCCTTGAGGACAAAAGCAGCAGGGCAGAAAAGGCAGTGAATTATGGGTAATCCTGTCTGCTTGTATCAAAGGTACACACAGTTACTGATAAACTTGCCTTTTAATAGCAGGAGTTGTAGGGGTGATGTCTATGCCACTTTTGGCATTTCTTTCAGTGATTCTGAGGGCAAACTTAATTTACAGACAATGTCACAACTGAGATGGCAAGAGGACACTGACAATGAGATCCCACTATGAAGTCTTATAATACAAAAAATGCATGATGCATTGAGGAATTCTAATAGTCTAACCTGTCCAATTTATTTTATGCATGTGTTTTTCCTTTTCTTTTTTTTATTATTTATGGATTGCCCTTTATACTGGTAAAAACCATCAAGTGCAGCAAGTACAATTTCCAACTACGAAAATGAACTCATAAAGAAATGTCAGGATAGAAGACAGCTTTAAAAGATGTGTATCGTGTACGCTCAAACAATGTCAGGGGGAGGCCTCCAAAATGACCACATTCCCCCTCAGTTGACGTGACTGACAAACAGTCTTTAAGCTGCTGAACAGAGGAGTCATTCGATTATAACTCCCGGCAATCTTCTTTATGTGACTTGAAAGCACTGGCTTTACCATTTGTTTCATGGCTTTATGACTACCCTACTTTCACTCAAGTCTTTAACAATGTAGCTGGAACAGATGATGCAGAAAAACAGCAGGCATTTGGAAGAAATCTCTCTCTGCCGTTACTGGGGTTTTGAGTGGCCCGGTTTTGTACGAGCAGATGAGTAATATGTCAGGGTTGACTGAGCCCAGCGCTGATTTGATTTCAAAGCTAGATAGTGAGGAAATGTGTGAGCCAGCTTAAAGAGCTGATCTTCCATGGCTAGTTTCAGACAAGCTTCCAGCCCATTGAATCAGATGGAAGTCATTGCTCACTGAATACTGTAGTAATTGCCCGTACTGTGTTCTGAAAGTGAATTCCTAGAGGCTGTTATAGAATGACAAGTAGTTAGAGCAAATGAGCAATTTCTGGACATCATTTAATATTTGAATGAGCATTTTGGCAGAAGATAATTCTAACAATATATATATGGACAATATGAAGTTTAGTTATTGTTCAGGCTTGACTCCCACTCCTTTGTTCACAAATCTGAACCATTTTGTATTTTAGGTGTACTTGATGTCAAGTCATTTTCTTTGGCTCTGTCTGTCCTCAAAATGAAATGTGGAAAAAAGAAGCAAAAAAGGAAACAAGTCTTCCTATGCTGGCTCATTAAAGCCTCAAATCATGTATTAATGCAACAGTTAATTAATTGTAGTTATTATTCAGGGATCCTTTTTCATTTAGAAGTGTGTGTTTAGTGTAGAAGCTTTGATAACCATAGAGCATGGATAAATTACCCTGAAAACAGACTGGAAGGTTGGTATTTCTAAAAGAATTCATACTGCACGACATTGGAGCAGCTTTGTCCCGGCAGATGGTTATTTATTTTTCCACTTATCTGCTAGTGTCTTGATTTGGTATTCTCATTCTAAATCCCTTAGAAAAACAGTACTCTTACTCTTCAATATTTGATGCTGAGTTGGCTATTTCTAAACAGAAGGCCAGTAAGTTACAGTGTTGTCATCTTTAAGACTATTCTTCCCTACTTTTTTCCAATTCAAGATAATTGTAAAAAAAACAAACAAAGAAAGTGGGGGGCTCTGTCCTTTCACTTGTCATCTTGATGCGACACATATGAACCAAAATCAAAAGCCATTACAATGTGAAATAGACCAATTCAGTGAGGCTTGCTTGCTGTATTTGGCTTTTATCTTAAAGATTAATAAATTAAGTAAATGTAAAGGTCATTGACACACTGATACAAAATACAGTCTCTAAAAAAAACTGATGCCAAAGTTCAGATGGCTTTGTGATTTCAGATTGAACACTCAGACTGAATAAATTGCAGTGTGAGTCGGATTGAACCCTTAGCTTTGTCAGCACTCCACCCCACACCTTCCCTCATGTCCATGTTTGCCTTAGGTCTAATGGAGTTCCATGCTGAGGGCTTGCAGTTTGCAAAATAAATTGCTTATTTATTTAGGTGCCTGAGCGTGACATTGTGGGAAAGTTATTATTGCCACTGTGAAGACAGATTGGCTGGTTCACTTTGTGATCACCTCCAAAGGAAACGTCTCTCCTGAAGGACACAGAAAATCCAAACCGAGGCTTTCAGAACTCATTTTATCAGGTAGTTACAGTTGTTGCAGTGAGGGACACGATGGGACCTTTGGCTCTCTAAACACCTGCTGCGCTGTTCCATATTTACAGGGATCTAGAAGACACTGAGCAGTTCTCTCTTCTCACCGTGGGTTCAGGTGATGATGAGTTGTATGGATCACTTTGACAGCCTGATTCTCTAATACATCGCAATGTTCCAAACATTGAATTGTTCAGCTACTAAAATAGATTTATTTTGTAACGACAGTAGTTTGTGATTTAATTGTTTTGTGGTTTTGATTTTTTTTGTTTTTTGTATGCCCACTTACTGCTGCTTTGAGAGCCAAGAGGCATGTTGAAGTGGAATGTCTTTCATTTAGATTTTCATATTTTTTCATCTTTATTTAATAACTTAAAGTCTTGTTT